CGATCTTTCTTTCTTTCTTTCTTTCTTTCTTTCTTTCTTTCTTTCTTTCTTTCTAGCAATCTTTCTTTCTTTCTTTCTTTCTTTCTTTCTTTCTTTCTTTCTTTCTTTCTGGAAATCTTTCTTTCTTTCTTTCTTTCTTTCTTTCTTTCTTTCTTTCTTTCTTTCTGCAGTTCTTTCTTTCTTTCTTTCTTTCTTTCTTTCTTTCTTTCTTTCTTTCTTTCTTGACATCTTTCTTTCTTTCTTTCTTTCTTTCTTTCTTTCTTTCTTTCTTTCTTTCTAGCCATCTTTCTTTCTTTCTTTCTTTCTTTCTTTCTTTCTTTCTTTCTTTCTTTCTCGGCTTCTTTCTTTCTTTCTTTCTTTCTTTCTTTCTTTCTTTCTTTCTTTCTTTCTTGGAGTCTTTCTTTCTTTCTTTCTTTCTTTCTTTCTTTCTTTCTTTCTTTCTTTCTCTATTTCTTTCTTTCTTTCTTTCTTTCTTTCTTTCTTTCTTTCTTTCTTTCTTTCTCTTGTTCTTTCTTTCTTTCTTTCTTTCTTTCTTTCTTTCTTTCTTTCTTTCTTTCTGGCAGTCTTTCTTTCTTTCTTTCTTTCTTTCTTTCTTTCTTTCTTTCTTTCTTTCTTCCAGTCTTTCTTTCTTTCTTTCTTTCTTTCTTTCTTTCTTTCTTTCTTTCTTTCTGTGGATCTTTCTTTCTTTCTTTCTTTCTTTCTTTCTTTCTTTCTTTCTTTCTTTCTCTGATTCTTTCTTTCTTTCTTTCTTTCTTTCTTTCTTTCTTTCTTTCTTTCTTTCTGTATCTCTTTCTTTCTTTCTTTCTTTCTTTCTTTCTTTCTTTCTTTCTTTCTTTCTCAGGGTCTTTCTTTCTTTCTTTCTTTCTTTCTTTCTTTCTTTCTTTCTTTCTTTCTTGCCTTCTTTCTTTCTTTCTTTCTTTCTTTCTTTCTTTCTTTCTTTCTTTCTTTCTAAATGTCTTTCTTTCTTTCTTTCTTTCTTTCTTTCTTTCTTTCTTTCTTTCTTTCTCCACATCTTTCTTTCTTTCTTTCTTTCTTTCTTTCTTTCTTTCTTTCTTTCTTTCTTAGAATCTTTCTTTCTTTCTTTCTTTCTTTCTTTCTTTCTTTCTTTCTTTCTTTCTTGTGATCTTTCTTTCTTTCTTTCTTTCTTTCTTTCTTTCTTTCTTTCTTTCTTTCTAAATCTCTTTCTTTCTTTCTTTCTTTCTTTCTTTCTTTCTTTCTTTCTTTCTTTCTACTGCTCTTTCTTTCTTTCTTTCTTTCTTTCTTTCTTTCTTTCTTTCTTTCTTTCTATGCTTCTTTCTTTCTTTCTTTCTTTCTTTCTTTCTTTCTTTCTTTCTTTCTTTCTTAATATCTTTCTTTCTTTCTTTCTTTCTTTCTTTCTTTCTTTCTTTCTTTCTTTCTTTCAATCTTTCTTTCTTTCTTTCTTTCTTTCTTTCTTTCTTTCTTTCTTTCTTTCTTTTCATCTTTCTTTCTTTCTTTCTTTCTTTCTTTCTTTCTTTCTTTCTTTCTTTCTCATGGTCTTTCTTTCTTTCTTTCTTTCTTTCTTTCTTTCTTTCTTTCTTTCTTTCTCATAATCTTTCTTTCTTTCTTTCTTTCTTTCTTTCTTTCTTTCTTTCTTTCTTTCTGTATGTCTTTCTTTCTTTCTTTCTTTCTTTCTTTCTTTCTTTCTTTCTTTCTTTCTAACAGTCTTTCTTTCTTTCTTTCTTTCTTTCTTTCTTTCTTTCTTTCTTTCTTTCTAAGAATCTTTCTTTCTTTCTTTCTTTCTTTCTTTCTTTCTTTCTTTCTTTCTTTCTTTTATTCTTTCTTTCTTTCTTTCTTTCTTTCTTTCTTTCTTTCTTTCTTTCTTTCTAGGCCTCTTTCTTTCTTTCTTTCTTTCTTTCTTTCTTTCTTTCTTTCTTTCTTTCTAAAGATCTTTCTTTCTTTCTTTCTTTCTTTCTTTCTTTCTTTCTTTCTTTCTTTCTTCTTATCTTTCTTTCTTTCTTTCTTTCTTTCTTTCTTTCTTTCTTTCTTTCTTTCTGTAATTCTTTCTTTCTTTCTTTCTTTCTTTCTTTCTTTCTTTCTTTCTTTCTTTCTCACAGTCTTTCTTTCTTTCTTTCTTTCTTTCTTTCTTTCTTTCTTTCTTTCTTTCTACTCTTCTTTCTTTCTTTCTTTCTTTCTTTCTTTCTTTCTTTCTTTCTTTCTTTCTCAGAGTCTTTCTTTCTTTCTTTCTTTCTTTCTTTCTTTCTTTCTTTCTTTCTTTCTTATTGTCTTTCTTTCTTTCTTTCTTTCTTTCTTTCTTTCTTTCTTTCTTTCTTTCTGAATATCTTTCTTTCTTTCTTTCTTTCTTTCTTTCTTTCTTTCTTTCTTTCTTTCTGACAATCTTTCTTTCTTTCTTTCTTTCTTTCTTTCTTTCTTTCTTTCTTTCTTTCTGTAGATCTTTCTTTCTTTCTTTCTTTCTTTCTTTCTTTCTTTCTTTCTTTCTTTCTATAAATCTTTCTTTCTTTCTTTCTTTCTTTCTTTCTTTCTTTCTTTCTTTCTTTCTTATCTTCTTTCTTTCTTTCTTTCTTTCTTTCTTTCTTTCTTTCTTTCTTTCTTTCTCCTTCTCTTTCTTTCTTTCTTTCTTTCTTTCTTTCTTTCTTTCTTTCTTTCTTTCTATAAATCTTTCTTTCTTTCTTTCTTTCTTTCTTTCTTTCTTTCTTTCTTTCTTTCTTTTCTTCTTTCTTTCTTTCTTTCTTTCTTTCTTTCTTTCTTTCTTTCTTTCTTTCTATGGATCTTTCTTTCTTTCTTTCTTTCTTTCTTTCTTTCTTTCTTTCTTTCTTTCTTCATATCTTTCTTTCTTTCTTTCTTTCTTTCTTTCTTTCTTTCTTTCTTTCTTTCTTTCATTCTTTCTTTCTTTCTTTCTTTCTTTCTTTCTTTCTTTCTTTCTTTCTTTCTGAATATCTTTCTTTCTTTCTTTCTTTCTTTCTTTCTTTCTTTCTTTCTTTCTTTCTAATTATCTTTCTTTCTTTCTTTCTTTCTTTCTTTCTTTCTTTCTTTCTTTCTTTCTAGGAGTCTTTCTTTCTTTCTTTCTTTCTTTCTTTCTTTCTTTCTTTCTTTCTTTCTGTTTGTCTTTCTTTCTTTCTTTCTTTCTTTCTTTCTTTCTTTCTTTCTTTCTTTCTATGCTTCTTTCTTTCTTTCTTTCTTTCTTTCTTTCTTTCTTTCTTTCTTTCTTTCTGCTTCTCTTTCTTTCTTTCTTTCTTTCTTTCTTTCTTTCTTTCTTTCTTTCTTTCTCTGGCTCTTTCTTTCTTTCTTTCTTTCTTTCTTTCTTTCTTTCTTTCTTTCTTTCTCCAGGTCTTTCTTTCTTTCTTTCTTTCTTTCTTTCTTTCTTTCTTTCTTTCTTTCTTTAACTCTTTCTTTCTTTCTTTCTTTCTTTCTTTCTTTCTTTCTTTCTTTCTTTCTCCAGGTCTTTCTTTCTTTCTTTCTTTCTTTCTTTCTTTCTTTCTTTCTTTCTTTCTTAAAATCTTTCTTTCTTTCTTTCTTTCTTTCTTTCTTTCTTTCTTTCTTTCTTTCTACAGATCTTTCTTTCTTTCTTTCTTTCTTTCTTTCTTTCTTTCTTTCTTTCTTTCTAAAGCTCTTTCTTTCTTTCTTTCTTTCTTTCTTTCTTTCTTTCTTTCTTTCTTTCTACGTGTCTTTCTTTCTTTCTTTCTTTCTTTCTTTCTTTCTTTCTTTCTTTCTTTCTGGGAGTCTTTCTTTCTTTCTTTCTTTCTTTCTTTCTTTCTTTCTTTCTTTCTTTCTTTGCTTCTTTCTTTCTTTCTTTCTTTCTTTCTTTCTTTCTTTCTTTCTTTCTTTCTGGCAATCTTTCTTTCTTTCTTTCTTTCTTTCTTTCTTTCTTTCTTTCTTTCTTTCTTTTCCTCTTTCTTTCTTTCTTTCTTTCTTTCTTTCTTTCTTTCTTTCTTTCTTTCTAGAGATCTTTCTTTCTTTCTTTCTTTCTTTCTTTCTTTCTTTCTTTCTTTCTTTCTCCTGGTCTTTCTTTCTTTCTTTCTTTCTTTCTTTCTTTCTTTCTTTCTTTCTTTCTGAACTTCTTTCTTTCTTTCTTTCTTTCTTTCTTTCTTTCTTTCTTTCTTTCTTTCTTTCTGTCTTTCTTTCTTTCTTTCTTTCTTTCTTTCTTTCTTTCTTTCTTTCTTTCTGATGGTCTTTCTTTCTTTCTTTCTTTCTTTCTTTCTTTCTTTCTTTCTTTCTTTCTCACTGTCTTTCTTTCTTTCTTTCTTTCTTTCTTTCTTTCTTTCTTTCTTTCTTTCTTTGGTTCTTTCTTTCTTTCTTTCTTTCTTTCTTTCTTTCTTTCTTTCTTTCTTTCTTCTCATCTTTCTTTCTTTCTTTCTTTCTTTCTTTCTTTCTTTCTTTCTTTCTTTCTAGCACTCTTTCTTTCTTTCTTTCTTTCTTTCTTTCTTTCTTTCTTTCTTTCTTTCTTGACCTCTTTCTTTCTTTCTTTCTTTCTTTCTTTCTTTCTTTCTTTCTTTCTTTCTTAAGATCTTTCTTTCTTTCTTTCTTTCTTTCTTTCTTTCTTTCTTTCTTTCTTTCTTATCCTCTTTCTTTCTTTCTTTCTTTCTTTCTTTCTTTCTTTCTTTCTTTCTTTCTTAAATTCTTTCTTTCTTTCTTTCTTTCTTTCTTTCTTTCTTTCTTTCTTTCTTTCTAATACTCTTTCTTTCTTTCTTTCTTTCTTTCTTTCTTTCTTTCTTTCTTTCTTTCTCTTCTTCTTTCTTTCTTTCTTTCTTTCTTTCTTTCTTTCTTTCTTTCTTTCTTTCTATTCCTCTTTCTTTCTTTCTTTCTTTCTTTCTTTCTTTCTTTCTTTCTTTCTTTCTTGACTTCTTTCTTTCTTTCTTTCTTTCTTTCTTTCTTTCTTTCTTTCTTTCTTTCTCGCCTTCTTTCTTTCTTTCTTTCTTTCTTTCTTTCTTTCTTTCTTTCTTTCTTTCTAGAAGTCTTTCTTTCTTTCTTTCTTTCTTTCTTTCTTTCTTTCTTTCTTTCTTTCTAGCTATCTTTCTTTCTTTCTTTCTTTCTTTCTTTCTTTCTTTCTTTCTTTCTTTCTAAGAGTCTTTCTTTCTTTCTTTCTTTCTTTCTTTCTTTCTTTCTTTCTTTCTTTCTAAAAGTCTTTCTTTCTTTCTTTCTTTCTTTCTTTCTTTCTTTCTTTCTTTCTTTCTAGCTGTCTTTCTTTCTTTCTTTCTTTCTTTCTTTCTTTCTTTCTTTCTTTCTTTCTGAGAATCTTTCTTTCTTTCTTTCTTTCTTTCTTTCTTTCTTTCTTTCTTTCTTTCTCACACTCTTTCTTTCTTTCTTTCTTTCTTTCTTTCTTTCTTTCTTTCTTTCTTTCTGATATTCTTTCTTTCTTTCTTTCTTTCTTTCTTTCTTTCTTTCTTTCTTTCTTTCTCATAATCTTTCTTTCTTTCTTTCTTTCTTTCTTTCTTTCTTTCTTTCTTTCTTTCTGAAAATCTTTCTTTCTTTCTTTCTTTCTTTCTTTCTTTCTTTCTTTCTTTCTTTCTGTAGGTCTTTCTTTCTTTCTTTCTTTCTTTCTTTCTTTCTTTCTTTCTTTCTTTCTAGCCCTCTTTCTTTCTTTCTTTCTTTCTTTCTTTCTTTCTTTCTTTCTTTCTTTCTATGATTCTTTCTTTCTTTCTTTCTTTCTTTCTTTCTTTCTTTCTTTCTTTCTTTCTTTGTATCTTTCTTTCTTTCTTTCTTTCTTTCTTTCTTTCTTT